AGCTGGGGAAGAGAACCGTGGGCATGCAGCCACAAACCCGTCCCTCTGCCCTCAGGGCGCTGTCCCTGGGCCAACGTTCAGAGGCTGGATGGGGGCCGCTGCTCCTCTGCCATTTCAGGCAGGAGAGCATCTTGAGCTGGGCCTGGCTGAGGAAGAAAACTAATTGTCCAGCTATATTTCCATGAGGCAGAACTGGCTTCACCAGGAGTTCTGGAGGAAGCCCTCTGCTGCCGGGGCAGCCCACAGAAAGTGGCTCCCAAGAGACCCCAAGCAGAAGAGAGAAGTGCCTGACTGCCCGGTTCTGGCAGTAGCTTCTGCTCTCCCTCTTCTGCAGACTGCCTGTCCCCCTCGGCCATCAAGAAGCACCACCGGCACTCTGCAGATCCACTGCGGGTGAGTGTCCAGAGGGCTGACCTTTGGGCCAGTAAAGGAATTGTGGCGGTGCAGAGTTGGCCCAAGAAGCAAAACCCAGTTCAGCCAAGAAGTGCCTGATTTGGACCAACGTCTTCTCCCTGCTTGAAAGGCCCTCCGTGTCCGAGTGCTACCGTGCCTGTGGGTCTTTGGCCTGGGACAGACAGGTTCTATTGGTTCTGGGATCCTCCCAATAGACGGGTGATCTGTAAACCTCCCTGGGCGCTTCCCCGCCACCTCTCCTCCCCAAGGATTGGCACTGGTCCAGGGTCTGGAGACCCGCAGACAGGCTGGAGTGGGTTCTCTTGTATCGCCCCAGAGCTCAGCTGTTGGAAGAAGAGAGCGCAGCATGGCCTGGAAGGAATGGGGGAGGAGTGCCAAGACATTTTGGGGGGTACAGGGTCTGGGTGTCTCCAGTTGCCTCTGCTGCTGCTGCGTTCCAGTGCAGGCGGTCTGAAATCACAAAGCCCAGGACGGGGGTGCGGCAGAGGTGAGATGGCTGGGCAGTTCCTTCCTCCCCGTTCCCCCACCGGATGAAGAAGACTACCTCGAGCCTAGAAGGGCCATCAAGGAGACTCCTGCAGCTGAGACCCGGTGGGGTTGTGTTCCCTGAAGCACCAGAGACGTCAGAGTAGCTGCTCCTTCCCGCCTCAGGGAGCCCGAAAGCCAGATCTCACCTGGGCCGGCCTCCGGTTCCCACAGGGGCCTCCTTTCCATGGTCTCCAGCAGGGACCTGGGAGGTAACTGGCACTAGACAGGGGCCCTCCCCTCGAGGGCCTGGTCCCCAAAGGCACCCTGAGGAAAGGGAAGCTCTGATCTAGCAGGCCCTTCAGGGAGGGCCTCTGGCCTGGCCTGGCCTGGCCTGGCCTGGCCTTTGAATTGCCCTCCAGCCCAGGGGAGAGGTGGGCTCCCCCAGCATGATGCCCTGGCCGAGGTGTCCGAAAGGACTCTGCAGCTGCAACTGTAAAAGGGCTTCGGGCCTGGGAGACAATTTAATTGACCAAATAAGGGAAAGGGAATATGCAGACGCCTGGCTTCGTGCCAGGCCTGCCGAAGGACTAACGGGATGGTCCCACGGGGGCGGGGGGGGCGCAGAACGCCCTGAACATTTCCTAATGGGGGATTCTTGGAGGCGGCGGCGCGAGTGCAGAGATGTGTCCTGCATGGCCGAAAGCGGGGCAAAGAGGGCGCCTGCCGTCCCCAAAGCTGCAGCGCGGTTCACCCCGAGGAACAGGCGGGTCCCCCCCCCAGAGCGCGCTCAGCCCCAGGCTCCTCCTCCTCCTCCTCCTC